GCTTTGCTGCATCGGATGTTTATTTCTTCGTTCAGTTTACCATCTTCAGTAGCCCGTCTCTCTAGCGTAGTTGGCTAAACCGGATTGTGCGGTGAGCGGGTGACGAACTCCTTGTGGTCCAGATTCGATCCCGGGGGTGGGCAGAAAAGTCACATTTCTCCAGATTTACGGTATTTAAAATGTAATCAAGGCCGAAAGGTTGCGATATCCATAATACCGAGTCTAAGGGTTAACAACTCATGGCTTCTGGATACTAAAACAAACCGTCTTCAGTAAATGTTGTTCCAAGATATTTAAATGCCTGTCTGACGTATGTATGCTCTAGTGCTATGTTTAAATCCTGCTTCTTTTTTCCCCCATTGACATTACTTCTGTCTTTTCAGTGTTGATTCTCATATTATTTGATTTACATTCTTCATTGATGAATGTGAGATGCTGTTGCAAATTCATGGCTGTATCTGCAATCAAAGCCTGGTCGTCGGCAAAGAGTAAATCATTGATGTTCCTATTATTTTTGTTCCTTGGCCTGGCATCTTTGCTTTTATCTCAGTGTAGGTGATAAACATGAGTGTTGATAAGACACACCCCTGTCTTACTCCAGTTGTTACTTTAAATGTTTCCTAATTTATTCTATCTCTAACTACGTTTCTACAAACGCTTAGTAAGCTTTTGCAAACTTCAGTGAAGTGTTCACTTACTCTGTATAGAGCCATTACTTTCTAGGTTTTTTTCTATCGACCCTGTCGAAAGCGTTCTCCTGGTCTACAGATAAGTTCTAACCATATTCGATGTTCTTTTCTATTAGAAAGATTGCATCTGTGCAGCTTCTATTTCTTCTGAAACACCTCTGTTCTTCTGTCAGATGTGGTTCTATCACTGTTCGTAGCCTCGTTTCTATTATCTTATCATACATTTTCAAAACACGACTTAAAAAGAGACGCATCGATATTGTTCCGCAATGGTACTGTAATAAACCTTGGCTTGACTTGGACTGCGCTTTGGCTTACTACTTATTGGCTTTAGCCACGGCTCACTCTCTGGATGTTACTGCTACACAACTTGCACTACTTTCACGTCTTGACAACACAAACGCCGCTCAGCTTCTTGGTACATTCTGTCAGTTTATTCTGGTCCATTTATTTCACATGTTCAAACATTATTCACACTTTATCACTCGCGACATATTCGAACATTAAACATTTGCGCAACATAAAGACGACATCTTCAAATACTACAAGCGTCTTCTCTGACTTCTGATGATCGACTGACCACGAGGCTAGCTCGGGCTTTCCCTCGCTTCCTCGACTAGGCACAAGTATCTCGTGCTGTCCCTTGTTGCACGGACTTTCTGCTTGCCACTATGTAATCGTGAGGACCATGCAAAGCAGGGTTATTACAGGTACAACTATTGCATGTTGCCATCAATGGAAACAGTTTGTTGTACCCATGCCGCATTGAAATTTCTGTAGAGTTATCTAATGTTGCTTTCACCTGCTGCTTGGATTATTTCTGTTGGTAATCTATCAATTCCTGGAGCTTTATATTTGGGGTGGGGGGGGGGGGGCTGGGATAGACTGCCTAATGACTTTAACTACTTCAGTAATCAGTATATGAGGTTCTGGCACTGTTGCCTTGTAGTCTTTGGTTGTTATTTCCTGGCAATCTCCTAATCTGCATGCGACGGAATTTTATAAAATGATCTTGTATAACACTAGACAAGACAGAGTCACCAATACCTCTGCATTAGAGAGAAAGTTGCAATTAGACCATGTCTGGATTATATTGACAGACAAAGAATGAAATGGTTCAGCCACATAGTGAGAATGCAGCCAGATCAGGCTGCAAATGAGAATTTTTTTTTTCTAGTAGAACATCTGGGAGGAAGATCAAGCTAGAGATGGATAAATGGTGTAGCTGGAGCTCCCAAAAAGATAAAATAAATCCGGCACTCAAATGACAAGAGAAGCGCAAGACTGAAAACCACGACACTGGGCAGTCACCTGTCTCAATGGGACGACAGAAGAAGACGACGAATTAGAAGGAGGAGGAAACGACGACGACGAATTAGAAGGAGCAGCAGCTTGTATCTCTCTGCTGAAATCAAGAGCTCTATCTCAAACACCAAGATCACAGTGTATAAAAAAAAAAAAACACCGTTTAAGCCAAATATCCCGCAACATTGATCCCGATATAGGACGCCATTTTTGATTATTTTAAAGCCCCACCCTGGCTGTAGGCGATGGATTCATGAATGGATAGTTGGGTGGATGAACTGTTTGATGCTTGAATGGATAGTAGGGTGGATGAACTGTTAGATGCTTTAATGAATGTTGGGTGAATGAACTGTTGGATGCTTGAATGGATAGTTGGGTGGATGAACTGTTGGATGCTTGAATGGATAATTGGGTGGATAAACTGTTGGATGGATGGACAGATGTTTATTTGGATGCTTATTGGATGTATGCAGTGATGGATGGGTGGTTTGAACTGACATGTGAATGGATGGATAGAGTTGATATGGAAGAATGGGAAAAATATGAATGGTCGGATATGTTATTGGATGAATAGATGGGGAGGAACTAATAATGGATGAATAATGTTCAAAATTAGCCACCACTTATACTGTCCTTTGCAGATAATGCCACTACTGGCAAAATGACTGGCCTTATCAGATTGTGTCACAGATTGTGTCACCAACTTATTCCTTTCCTATCCCCCCACACTTTCTCACTCATTCTCTTACCCGGTTATATCCGAATAACGACACATATACGGGGCCCAAAAACAGGGCCTCAGTCATGTAAATTGCGAACTTCCGGCGACTACCGCCACCGCCGACACGGGTGATCGTCATCCGCATGGTTACACTTAGTGTTACCGGGTGTTTTTCGCTTGTGTGATGTCCTGTTTTGAGAGAGGAGGCAGCCCTGCCGGACTCCTACTGTTGTTCGGAACCAGCTTCCTATTTGCCCGTTCAGCGTGACAGCACTGCCGGCCTTGGCATAGAAATGTTCTATAGTACGTATGAGGGTTTTAGCCATATTGTACTTTTTCATAGTGTTCCAGAGGCCTTTTTGAAATCAATGAACACAAGGTATCGATATTTTTGGTGCTGGTGGTATTGCTCAGATAATATGCGTAGATTAAATATCTGTGCTTGTTCCAGAACGGAAACCCGCCTGTTTCTCTGCTCTGATCTTCTCTGAGTGCGGCTTTAATGTGTTTAGGAGTATCTTGAGCTTGACTTTAATGGGATGACTCGTGAGACATCATTATCGCCTTGCCGACTGGCGTGGGTGATCATGCCTCTCCACAATCTGCGATCTCCTGCAGCATGTATCAGTTCGTGTGCCGACACACCTCCATGCCAAGCAAGATGAATCTTCTCTCGTTGTCTTCTTCTATCCCTCCTTCCACAGATCTTTCCGGTGGTCATATCCCTCCTTCCACAGATCTTTCCGGTGGTCATATCCCTCCTTCCACAGATCTTTCCGGTGGTCATATCCCTCCTTCCACAGATCTTTCCGGTGTTCATATCCCTTCTTCCACAGATCTTTCCGGTGGTCATATCCCTCCTTCCACAGATCTTTCCGGTGGTCATATCCCTCCTTCCACAGATCTTTCCGGTGGTCATATCCCTCCTTCCACAGATCTTTCCGGTGGTCATATCCCTCCTTCCACAGATCTTTCCGGTGGTCATATCCCTCCTTCCACAGATCTTTCCGGTGGTCATATCCTTCCTTCCACAGATCTTTCCGGTGGTCATATCCCTCCTTCCACAGATCTTTCCGGTGGTCATATCCCTCCTTCCACAGATCTTTCCGGTGGTCATATTCCTCCTTCCACAGATCTTTCCGGTGGTCATATCCCTCCTTCCACAGATCTTTCCGGTGGTCATATCCCTCCTTCCACAGATCTTTCCGGTGGTCATATCCCTCCTTCCACAGATCTTTCCGGTGGTCATATCCCTCCTTCCACAGATCTTTCTGGTGGTCATATCCCTCCTTCCACAGATCTTTCCGGTGGTCATATGTTCCATTTTCCTTCTTGGCCGAAAAATGATGTCTGTGATAACTTGTCTTCGGGCTCCCGCCTCTTTCAAAACCTCTTTGTTGCTCTTTTTGGCTGTCCAAGGTATTCTAAGCATTCTTCTGTAAAACCACATCTCTGAGGCCTCTAGAAATTGTTTGGCCTGCCTACCGATTGTCCAGGATTCACAGCCATATGTTAAAACTGGATGTATGTAGCAAGCAAGAATTCTTTTTCTAACTCTCAATGACAAGGATATATTGCACAAGTTGTTTTTCATTTTATAAAATGCAGTTTTTGCCTGTCCTATTCTGTTTCTTATTTCTGTACTTGTCCCAAAATAAAACCATCGACTTTTATTTACACACTTAGGAATAATTTGTTTCTTTGTTTCCCCTCATTACTTCAGTCTTCCCATTATTCAAATTGAGGCCCATTCTTCCACTTTCTGAAACCAGTGTCTGTTCTTTCTGACATATCAATTAAAGATCTCATTATATATTCACTGTATAGTGAAAACAAATCAGATGACAGTACACATCTTTCTTATACCCCCTTCTTTATAACAGTTTGATTACTTGTTCATGCTTCACACAGTCAAATGCTTTTGTATAGTCTATGAAGCATAAGTACACATCAGTCTTCTATAGCTCTTTCTGACAGTGTCCTTAGGATGTATATGGCATTGTATGTATCTTTCTTTGACATATGAATTGCCTGTGATTTTTTTTTCTCCCCCAACAACTGTTCATTCTTTTTCTTCCTTCCATCAATTTCAGAGTTGCAAAAAGAAATGGACGTCAACTAGTCTCTTTTGGTGTCTGCTGAATTGACTTATGCAATATATCCCACTGTTCATCAATAGTCTGTATAAATGCCCATTGCATTGTACTGTTCCTTAATTTCTGTATCCGTTCTAAGAGTTTGATGTTCTGTGTTATATAAAATAATGATCTGTGTAAAATATCTAGGACCCAGTGGTATTTGGCGGAAGTCTTCGTATGAACCTTGACCCATTTGGTGAAAGGTCAACAGAGGAACTGTGGGATGCTCTTCAGTGCTCTCATCTGGCCACATTTGTAGAAAGCCTTCCTGGCAAGCTGGACTATGAATGTGGAGAGGGAGGCAAAAATTTCAGGTGAGCAAAACTAACAGAGAAATTGTGGTGTGTACAAAAATCATATTCATCAAAAGTTGGATGTCAAAACACATTCACTATCAAAGCTGAAGTACACTATCACACAATAATAAAAGGCTAGAGGGGATATTAACACTAGACAGACAAGAAGAGCTCTCCTATGTGGTGAGTATTCTTACACACCTCAGACGAACTAACGATGAAATAAAAGAATAACTGACAATGTCTATAACAAAACCAAGATTACCTCAATACAAAAGTGCTCAGTCTCTGCTTACCTCAGATACAAGTACAATCTCAGCGATAAAGTAACTCCTAAAATCTCCTTCATTTGCTATACAGTCAGCCAACTAGCAACAATTAAGTTGACAATCGCAACAACAGACATCTTTTACATTGCAAACAACTGCTCTTCTTCATATGAATACATTCACACCCTCTTCTTCAGATGAATACATTCACACCCTCTTCTTCGTTTATACTTTCTCTCTCTCTCTCTCTCTCATTAGAAATTTTAATTACGTTAATACACATGATGCTATAATTTTATCAGCACCAAAACCACCAGTGCCATTAGCACGTTATTAATGCAGCAGGTGTAGCAGTTATGTAAGGCTCTCATGCAGGAGACCAGCGTTCAACAGCCAGTAAGGTGTTGGGAGTTTTTCTGTCCGGAACAAAAAATAAACATCCTAACCTTCACAGTCAGTGGTGACAGTACTAGCCATGTGGTCATAAAACATTCTTGAGTGCCTGTACTGACAATGCTTATTACTGCCAGTGCTGTTTTTAGCAGTACCATTTTTAATATAATAATCTTAATGATTGACTTGTATCTGATACATCCAGTGTTGGCCAGCGTCAGCTTGTCTGTTTGGCTCGAACTCTGCTCCGCAAGACGAAGATTTTAGTGTTGGATGAAGCCACTGCTGCAGTTGACATGGGGACTGATGACTTGATTCAGAAGACCATCTGTAAAGAGTTCAAGGATTGCACTGTTCTGACCATTGCTCATCGGCTGAATACAGTTCTGGACTATGACAGGTAAATTGAGGTCACAGTGTCTTCACCCTCCACTGGCACATTCAAAATTATATTCCTTGACTGCTTTGTTTTTCCAAGATGGAAAACTACCCCAACAATTAAGTAATGAGTTTTCAGTGGGCTCACAGGGTTTGGTGGCAATAAATCACTGTGCCCGCATTTAGGACAGTTGAAAAGACACAGCCAGGCGTCAGGCAGAGAGACATTCGAGAAGTACCGAACAGACAGAGATGTAAAGAGGAGCTGGAGTCGTTTTTACTGATGTACTTCAATCGGACCTAGAAATGCATCAATGACAACCCAGATCACCAGCGGCCAGAGTTGCATCCTCATACGATATCCGAAAGTCTTCTGAATGTTTCACAGCTTGTTAAGATTAGTGTGGAGCCGAAAGCACCCGGTGGCAGGGAGCCAACAGGGTCTCTACATTCTCAAGAGCAAGATGCTCTACTCTTCTCTCTAACTGAATTTATAAGCTGCCACACTATGATAATGAGATACCAATATAGCTTTCTGGTAGTCTGGTAATTTTAATTTCAGCTTCATAGCAAACGGGTCACTCCATATTTGCTCCGCTCCTGTGCCAACGAAAAATACTCAGAATGTTTATCACAGTCCCTTGTGGAAAGACTGACAAACTGCTGTTGCACACGCGATCAATTTTAATCAAATAATGGCCCCACCAATATTACGACAACCGGCATCGCGCCATTTAAGAATGCCCTGACTGCCTTCGTTAACGACTGTTCACCCAACAGCCATGCAGTTCTTTGGCACGAAGGAGACACTTCGAACTTGGGTTTCGGACTGCCGACTCCCTACACGAAGACATATGTGTGCTACTGGTGTCCCGTAGCTAAAATACTATCTCACTGTATTACTAAAATTCAGCACACGCAGTAGTTTAAAACACACACACATTACCTGCCACCCGTTTGCTTGCTGGTGCAGCACACATGACCACATATTTATATAAGTATATATATATATATATATATATATATATATATATATATATATATATATATATATATATATATATATATATATATCGGGAGAGAGTGAGACAAGGGAAGAATCATGCCGAATGACCACACATATGTAAGACACTGACACAGGGAATTCCCTATGCACACAAGGTCGGCATGACTGGCTCCAAGAAGGAGACAGTAAATTTATATGGCTCAGTCAGATCAGATACAGTCCCTGCTGTGACAGAAAGTTGGCTGTAATAAAGGACTGCTGTAGAAAGGTGCACCCAATGGACGGTTTCAGAAGGAGATGCATACTTTGTGGTAGGGTAATATTGCTTGAAAAATGTATTCTGCAAGCCACCAGGGGTTTCATTCACATTTTCTAACAATAGTAATACACTAGCGATGACTAATAATAATCATTAACAGCTCAGCCAATACATGCATAAATCGACGTAGACAGAAAGAGAGAGAGAAAGGGATCACCACTTAGCTAATTACAGCAAATGTATAGCGTTCACCGAGTCTTCTGATTCGATATCCAAACGTACTTGTTGTCAACCATACAGTTTTTGCGTGCATCGATCAATGCCCGAGAACAGAAAATCAAATGCTGTGTCTCTACTATCATTTCTAGGTGGCCACATGGTCACAGATGGAACTGTTGTAGCAGGGTAGAGCCGTCTGAACTTTAATTCTGCAGATAAATTGGGTGATTATAAAAAGTCGTGTCCTGATGAGATGTCATCGCGAAAAAAGGTGAAACATTCCGCGTGTCTTCAATTATTTCTTCTTTCATTCGTGAACCCGCCTGCGTCAGAAAAAATGTTGCTGCATTAAACGGCGTCTAGGTGTCCGAGGAAACGGGAAGTATATTGGTTGATTGTCGGCTTTAATAACCATTGGAAATACCGCATATAAAATGTTCTACATAGTATCATTAGAGAATGGGATGGTCCGGATGCATATTGTTGAGTGAGTCCAGCAGCTAGCATTGTCCTTTCCCTTATTTTGCCTAGCATTAATCTTTTGAAAAAGCTCAGTTCTATCGTAGTCACACGTGTTTCGTTTGTATAGTATGACACTTGCGGGACGTCTCTCGGTTAGCCAGTGTTCTGGGTGGTGATAAATCTCAGTGACCTTCGCATCCGTGGTTCATGTGTCCGTATCATCGGCACATTTCCGCTCAAAATATGTTTGAGAATGTTACAAAAACCATATTTGCATGCAATTATGACATCTAAGTGGCTCTGTGGCTAAGTCGATGCGAACGCTTCGTAATGCCGGGTTCGATCCAAGTTGCGGGCCATGCGCCTTGCGTTGGTTTCGACAGTGGTATCAAGAAAGCCGACCGCCCAGAAGCAATGGCAAACTATTGGACGTAAATTTGCCTAGAAAAACAACAGCCAGGGGCTGTTGGGGTTGGTTCTGCAACGTCCTGTAAAGGATACGCAACTAACCATGACATCTAATTGCGTGAAACAATATTTCACTGCACGTCTAACTGAATAACGATCACAACGATAGTAAAAACGTCGCTAGTTTACAGGCACAATTGAAATAAAAAATCCAAATAGTAAGAACTAAGAGCTAGGAAAAATCACGTCCTCTCAGTAGAGAGTCAGTCGGCTGGATTAAAAAAACATATAGCTTTTTTTCCTGACCTTTTTACGGGTGATCCTCATCCGCATGGTGGCAGTGTGTGTTTATAGGGCTTTATTCCCTGTTGTGATGATCCTTCCTTTGCATCTTTTAAAACCTACCCAAAACAAACAGTTATGTATGACATTACTTACAGACAAACCAACTGCTCACTGGTTCCATGATAAACAACTCTACAATATACACACATTAGATCTCAGTTATCCAATGGGGAAATTTAAACAAAACAAACAAAAACCAAGAACCCAAGACCTTCCCATCTGCAAGTGAGCACCGGCTTGGAGTCTAAAATTGTGAAGGATTGCTTTCAAAGTCTGAATAAAAGTGTTGAACTGTAGCCGGCCTATGCAGACTGTCGTTGGTATTGGCATTTCTAGAGGCTGCCTGTGAATTTGCTGTCAGGGCGCGTCATACGGGAGCAGTGTTAGGTACTGTTTTTTTTTTTTTTTTTTTTTTTTTTTACTGGTACAAGAATGTTGCAGTTATGGGATCTCCTGTCCTTTAAACACAAATTGTCTACCTTTTGTACCACCCTTTAAACACAAATTGTCTACCTCTTGTACCACCTGTCCTTTAAACACAAATTGTCTACCTTTTGTACCACCTGTCCTTTAAACACAAATTGTCTACCTCTTGTACCACCTGTCCTTTAAACACAAATTGTCTACCTTTTGTACCACCTGTCCTTTAAACACAAATTGTCTAACCTCTTGTACCACCTGTCCTTTGTTTTTAAATTGTCTACCTCTTGTACCACCTGTCCTTTAAACACAAATTGTCTACCTTTTGTACCACCTGTCCTTTAAACACAAATTGTCTACCTCTTGTACCACCTGTCCTTTAAACACAAATTGTCTACCTCTTGTACCACCTGTCCTTTGTTTTTAAATTGTCTACCTCTTGTACCACCTGTCCTTTAAACACAAATTGTCTACCTTTTGTACCACCTGTCCTTTAAACACAAACTGTCTACCTTTTGTACCACCTGTCCTTTAAACACAAACTGTCTACCTTTTGTACCACCTGTCCTTTAAACACAAACTGTCTACCTTTTGTACCACCTGTCCTTTAAACACAAACTGTCTACCTTTTGTACCACCTGTCCTTTAAACACAAACTGTCTACCTTTTGTACCACCTGTCCTTTAACACAAACTGTCTACCTTTTGTACCACCTGTCCTTTAAACACAAACTGTCTACCTTTTGTACCACCTGTCCTTTAAACACAAACTGTCTACCTTTTGTACCACCTGTCCTTTAAACACAAACTGTCTACCTTTTGTACCACCTGTCCTTTAAACACAAACTGTCTACCTTTTG